CAATAACGGCCTATAATTAATCCTAACTAACTTCATTACATTCAATTAACCAATGCGCCAATCATGTAATATTCCATTTCCAATGCGTGTCCCTGTGATCAACTTTCTGTGTGTTTCCGGGTCATGCTCACCAGCGATAGGGGAGGTATTGAAACACTGAGCTGTAGAGTAGGTTTTATAGATATATAGGGGCATGCATGCACAGACGCAGCAGCAATATAACATCAAACCCACATGCTGGGTGTACCACGTCACCCACCGCACTGTCACTTTGTATGGTAGCATCGAAGGACAGGATTTGGCAACGGTCCAGCTGAGCAAAGTTCTATAGAATGATTACGTAAGAAGGTGAGTACGTGAGTAAGTTACGTAGAGTTGAAACCGGCTTGGTGACAATGTTTTTTATTCACGTACAGTGCCAGCTTGGCTATAGCTGGGCCCTCCCCACAGACTCTGTCTAGGCGGAATGCATGCCTACGGGACAGTTGCGACATTTTACGCCTCCTGGCCAGATGTATGCGCGTAATATGATGACTAGCTGAAAAGCTAGTGTTTCGTCATGCACCCAAGCACCGTGTATACACACACAGCATGTCCCTCGTATCCCTAAGTACTATATATATATCAGAAGTAGATAATAGGGATTATCCTATTATTTACTTCTGATGTATATATATATATATATATATATATACAGTGTGTCCTCCCTCCCATGTCCTTAAAATTTCATAACGCGCTATCTTCTCCTGGGGCAGGAAACTGCAGCCTAGTTACTTTCGATGTTTCGAAAGTAGGAAATTCCGCCCCTTGTCTGTATTTTTTACGATGACTAAACGAGGCCAGGTGCCCTTACGTCAACTCAGCACTCATTACAGTAGCTCATAAATGTGCATCTATCATTCTATGTCATGTAAACGCACGTGAGATTACGACCGGACAAAGAAAACGAGTTAACAGCTAACGTACGCATTAACCTTCCACTGGTACACACTGCGGGTTTACACATGTATTTAAACCAACACCAATCTAAACGCAGAGACTTCGTAAGAGTGGCAATTTCGAGCCGGCTACTCTACTATTTAGCGATCTAGCAACTAGCAGGCGTCGGGTGTTCCTCCCCGCAAACAGTCAAAGTCCGAGCAAGTCACTGACCGGGATTAGGCGCTGCTTCCTCTGATAATGCACTATCGGACAATCTTATACTCTTAGACTGGTTCCAACAGTCCCCGCGTGACTGGTCCTGTTTATTCGCAACTACTCTCGGAGAGCCAGTCTACGTTGTAATTCCATTCGTAGACTGGGCGGGGGGGGCGACCAATTTAATATCGCAGATTTTGCAGGCGCGAAAATTTATTGCCGGCTACCTTACTAATACTATACAGGGTACCAATAGATATTGGTATACAGTGAGTAGCAGGTAGCAGCAATAGCCGGACTCCATAAATCTCGTTGACCATCAACAATCTTTGTAAACTCGGCTCCACAGAAACGATTTGTGTCAGTCTATGGCAGCCTGGCCAGGCACACTTTTTTAAACACGTTTTACGTATTTCAGTTTACTTATTTCGTCCCTTAAAGCAGCAATTCATTGTCACGGTTCGCATCTAATTCCTCATCATCATTAAATTTCTTCATCGACAATGCAATAAGGATAGGAAGTAGTATCATGTACAAAACAATACACCTACGTTAGTCAAAATTCCCTTATAAGCAAGTACTGTGTTAGTAGCAAGAATGGGGGAGTGGGTCAGTGGGGGTTGCGTCAAAATTGTTTCCGGATGGGATGAGAAGAAAATCGACAATAGTGAGGGGCTAAGGATTGGCCCATGAAGACGTGTAGCCGCGGCCAGTCTTTGTTTACACAGTAAGCAGTCGTTGGCTGGACAGTTCCTATTTAGCAGTAGCAGCTGGAACACGCGCACACTTCACAGCTGGTGTAACACACACCTACGTACCATCGGCAGTCTTGACAATAAATGTTGTGTGTGTGTGTGTGTGTGCGCACGTAAGTGTGCGTGCGTGTGTTGTTGCGCGAACTTCCTTAACTTCATTTCTAGTGTTGCGGTGGATTATAAGATTATAACGCGTGGTACCTGTGCGGGCCGGGGCTGGTTGGTATGACGGTTGGGGTCGTCGATGGGACGTCGTGTGATATGTGCAGAATTACAGGTTGGGTGGAGGTTATTTGAGAATTAAACCTTTAGAGCTCAGAATGTCAAGGGTTGCGCTCAGCCGTACGGCTGCTATTCGTACGACGAGTTGTTTTAGAATCAACGTCGGCGGCGCTCATGAGTTTCTAATACACACGCAGTTGACAGAGCGCGGATCCACTATTTACTTTCGGTTTATCTTTACGCCCGGTGAACCCCACTTCAATCGCAACGCCAGCAGATCTTCACCAAACCAAAGACCACAATGAAAATAAGTATGCTAGTCGTACTTTTTGTGTATATATCCTAATTGGTGGTTATCCAATTTCATGAATTTTAAAATATATTGTAAAAGCTATGCTATATATCATGGATAATTACCTAAAGAAATAAATAAATACTTAAATAAATAAATACCTGCGCAGAACTCGCGTATTTCGCGGCGTTGCCTTTTCTGTTCAATATAATTAAGCGTTTTCGCTAAAGATTGGCTTCTATTTTCGGAGCTTTACATGCCTTCGTGCGTAGTTGAGATTAGGTAGGTTGTTAAAGCCTTTGAACAACGTTTTACAAAGCTGGCTTCTATACGTTCAGCCATTTATTACCGTGTATTAATATCGTATCGAGGATAAATGTTCTATTCTAGCAGATTTATACGTCTCGTTCACGTCTTGCATGTATGCATTCTTCGCGAAGCTGATGTAAGGGTCGTAACTTCAGCTAACTTCCCCTCCTTCCCTTTCCGTTACCTTCCCCTTCGACCACCTTTCCCTTCGGCCACCCTCTCCTACTCCCTTATTCCTTTCCCGCCACTTTCCACTCGGCCATTTACCCCTCCCGCCATCTTCCCCTCTTCTAACCTTCCCCATTCTCTGTACTTAGTTATATCTGCCTCTCGTCGTCCCAGCATTCTCCTCTTGCTTCTGCCCTTCACCCTACAATTACCCTGTATTCCCGATGTGCCGTCCATGCACGCAGTAGTATATATAGGCATCACGATTATATCCACAACGATGCTATCCGAAAAATGGCCGCATCATAATATATACAGATGCATCGCTTACATACATGTATACATTGCGGGAACGACATTCGCGTTGGTATTGATTTCTGAGGTAAACGCATGTTTGTGCGAATTGTTATGAATTACAGTCCATTTCAACTTAGCTGCATGAACGTACACGTGTGTTTACACAATCCCCTTTTGTGCACATCAAGGAAGTATCGATTTACGAGAAAACGATGCGATACAGTATATAACCGCTTTCCAAACTATGCATTGCTTTGGTTAATCCTATTATTCAGTGACCATTTCAATTAAAGCCCCAAGCTATATCCTATGATATATATCCTATTATATAATTTGAGATCCGTAAGTTTAACCCAAATACACGCTATGAAAAAATGTGTCATGCACTGCCACTATCACGCGTACTGCATGTTTACGTGTATCGGACACACACGAGCACTTGATGCACAACATATATACAGCAGCAAAAAGCGATTTCAACACAACGAGAACACTTTACAATATACATACATGGAGAGCGCTTTAGCTTGCGCTCCATTAATCGCGCTCATACATTCCTACACTTTACCAACGTTGAACCGTTACGATGCGTTTACACTATCGATTTTTGTCAGGAAATAGTAGCGATTTCAAGTGCATTCCAACTTGCCCCCCCGACTTGACCCAAGTGCATTCCAATAAATTTTATTGTGTTGGAATCAGAGTCAGAGTCAAGTTGCCGAGTTGGAGAAATAGACCGTGTTCTATTTTGCACGACTCGGACGATTTGCTGACAAAAACCGATAGTGTAAACGCAGCTACACTAACTTACTAGTCGCAATATTTTATGTTGGCTCGCTGGCAACAAATTGGAAACAGTTTAATGCAGGAAACTGCAAGATTGTCAGTATATAAACACTCATTGATACAGACAATGTGAGAACCATGATACACATGGTTGAGCATTAGGAATTCTAACCCTAACCAAAACCCTAATCTCATCTAAATTCTAAACCCTAACTACCAATAACCCTTACCCTAACCCTAACTATCAATAACCCTAACCCTAACCCAAACCCTATCCCTAACCGATAACCCTTATCCCTAACTATAACCCTAACCCTAACCCTGACCCTAACACTCACTGATACAGACAGCAGCCTAACGCTTACCATAACCCTATCCCTATCCCTTTAATATTATTAACCCTGATCCCCTGATATACAAGGTGTGTCGCTACTCACTGATACAGACGGCAGCCTAACACTTACCATAACCCTAACCCCATCCCTTACCACTAACACTTCTCCATACCCATTACCATATATGCCTTACACCTATCCCTAACACCTAACCCTCATCAACCATTAACCATACCCCTTACCCCTAAGCCATATCATTAACCCTAATGCTTACCATAACCCTAATCCTAACCCTTAATGCTTACCATAACCCTAATCCTAACCCTTATCATTTTACCTAATTGCTTACCATCTATAACCCTAATCCTAACCCTTATCATTAACCCTAATGCGTACCATAACCCTTAATGCTTACCATATAAACCCTAATGCTTACCATAGGCATAACTCGTCTCTTACACCCAACCCTTATAATTAACCCTGGTGCTTACCATAACTCTATCCCTTAGTACCATTACCCCTAACCCTAATTATTAACCCTAACCCCCTGATATACGAGGTGTGTTGCTACTCACTGATGCAGACGGCACACACCATTACCATAACCATAACCCTAACCCCATCTCTTACCCCTAACCTTTAGCCGCCCTTCTCAGTAACCCTGACCCCCTGATATATACGAGGCGTGTTGCTACTCACTGATGCAGACGGCGGCCAGCAGCCTCACGGCGTCGTCCGGCGGCTCGCACTCCGTGTAGAACGGCTTCAGGATGTAGATGCCGAACGTCATGGCGACGATCGCCTGCGAGCATGGCCGCACGATCACGCACTCGACCCACAGCCTCATGAAGGCGAGCAGCGGACCGAACGCCTCGTAGATGTACGCGTAGTCGGCGCCCGACCGCTGGATCAGCGTGCCCAGCTCGCAGTAGCAGTAGGCGCCGATCGTCGAGAAGATGCCGCAAAAGAGCCAGACGAGCAGGAACATGCCTACGCTGCCCGTGTACTGCAGCACGCCCTTCGGCGAGACGAAGATCCCCGAGCCGATGATCGAGCCGACGATGACGGTGACGCCGTTGAGCAGCGTGATCTTCGGCTTTAGCGAGATTCCCTCCGACGCCGCGTCGACGCCGGCGCCCCCTGCGGGCGCAGCTGCCGCGGCCGCCTTCACGGGACTGTACTTGGTGTCGGTGGCCATCTTTGTGGGCCGAGACCCGTGGCGTCTGTGTGGGAGAAACAAACGGGTAGGTGCAGCCCTACCGAATGGCGGTGTACGTGGGTTGATGTGTCTCTAGATGGTGCTTGGGCGACTGGGCAAGTGTTTTAAAAAGGGATACATGACCCACTAGGTTGCTTGCATATTTTCACTTAAAATAGGTTTAAACTACGCTACATAAAAAATTCATTGATCAATTTTCATTAGAAATATGTATAAAAATGTTTTATAATGGCTGTATCATTGCTTACAATGACGGTGGTGCCACTATATTAGCCTATCTACCTTCAAAGTTGCGCTTCGCAACTTTTCGGCCAGGGACTACAGACTGAGGATGTTTCTTATTCATTAATTTAAGAGGAGAAGGATTGCAATATCGTATAAACAACTTATTGATTTAGTTAAAATATGGACAAATTTGTCCTAAAATAAAAATCGTTTGGTTGAATAGCAGTTAGGTATAAATATAATTGCAATTTCGTGATTAGCCCTCGGTCTGTAACGTGCAAAATAAATAAGAAAAATCGCAACTTTGTCAGGGTGGCTGCACAATCGAGGGGTGTCATGTCAGCGGCCAAAAATATAGATTTCGAACTCACTGTCGTTTTATGACAGATGTGAATGAATGATAAAGGTATTATTAGCTCTTGTTACTATCATAATATACCCTAAAATTCTAGGGTGTAGTATCCCTTTAATTTCCATCACGGGGTAGTAGGTATATATAGCGCTACTGAATGGCAGTGTATGTGGGTTGGTGTCAGTCTCTATGCTGCGTGGGCGACTGGGCAAATGTTAGTTTTCCTCACTGGGTAGTAGGTGTAGTGCTACTGACGTTCTATCATGCACATTACTCATGTTGATGTTTTCGTGTCAAAATGTTCTATTGTTCGTTATCTGTGGTGTCGCGGTGTTTTCTTTTTCTTTTTTCTTTAGGGTTTTGCATGTGATGACGATGATGTAGTGGTGAAACTTACCCAAAAAAGTAGCTACCTATACCCCCTAAAGTAACAATATTAGGGGTAGTGGTGTAACGGTTAACCGCGGTTAACCGAAAACCGCGGTTTTTGCGCCACCATTCGGATATTCGAACCGTCGTTCCGTTTTCGGCTCGGTTTTGGTTCCACATTTTATATATACCCGATATATACGCTTTTGAGATACGCGCACTGCGATTTGCTGGTCGTAAACTCTCGGCCAATCAGCGAGCAGATAACATTGATAGACCACTTGCTACATGCCACGGGAAGGTCAACGCGTTCATTTTGTCTGCAAAAATGACAACTTATGTTGATCCGCCGGCCTCCTACAGATCTATGGTATGGAAGCATTTCGCATTTCCAACAATCGGATGGTTCGTAGATCGTTCGAAAACAGTGTGCAAGCATTGCTCGTCAGTTTTAATATATAAAACAGGAACAACATCTACCGCAGGAGATCTAGTCACGGCCCAGAAATCATGCTTTAATCGCCTGATCAAGTTGATGTATTAATTTTTCTTAAGAAAAATATGTAACTGATGGTGACTACACATGTCATGAGAAGCACTAACACACAGTTATTGGGATTGTGTTTCTTACACCTAATCAATGAAGTACAAAGACACTGAGATGGACTATTGGACATATTTGCCTATTTGGTTACTTTTACTAAAGTCAAATATTTGAATTTCCTGTACAAAGGTTTTGTTGAATTTGCCCTAACATTTGGGTATTGTATATTAAAGGTTTGTTGTTCAAAGAATTTTAGTGACATTATTATTTAATATTTATAAACCAGTCTGATTATTAAATTTGCACTTCTGTTTGGTGAGTTAAGGGAGCGAGAGAGGTGCTCGACATACATATGAAGGATATTGTCTTAGCTGGTGAGAAATATGAACAAACATCTGTTTACCAACGCAGAAGCGCGAGTAACTCAACATCGTACCTGGTCACCTTAAAACAACAACAGACGTAGATCAAGTCTAACAACAATCAAACAAACAACAACAAACAACAACAACGGTGATAGCGGCGGTTTTGAACGGTTGATACATGCGACACGTTTCCGCTAAACATAAATAATCGTACACAAACAACATAAACAGCAACAACAATAATAATAATATCGAACATAAGAAGCCCTATACCGAAGGGCAGATCTAGATACGTGGGTGCCCACAACTTCGGAGCCGAGTGGATCGTCGACAGCTCGGTCACAGCTCGGTGATCCGTGATCATGGCGGATGGAGTAGACGTAGTTTGGCAAGAGGCATTATCTCTGCGAGCTTACCCGACGGATTGCGATAGCTTCCACTCACTCTCCTCGTGCGAGTGGGAGGGAGGGACCTGATAGACACATATCAAGAGTACATAATAGAGTATGATGTTTATTTTACTCTTTATTAATAATTACTTTATTAATTACTCTGATTATTAACTACTAATATTATTATTATAGTAACTATTTAAACTGTTGTATTAGTAACTGTAAATATTAGTAATTAATTAAACTAATTATTATTAATTACTCTAATAATTACTAATAATACTCTCTATTATGTACTCTTGACACATATCCTCCCTCATCGTCGCCACCCAATCCCTCCTCCCTCCAGCGGCGGTTTCTCCTCGCGAGTGGGAGGGAGTTACCAGCTAGACACAAATCCTCCCCTCCTCCCTCATCGTCGTCATTTAATCCCTCCTCCGGCGGCGGCTTCCCCGCAGCTTCCTGTTTGATGATCAACATTGGATCGCTGCCGACGATATGGCGGCTGATGTATATATACACAGCATAGCATGGGTAATCTGCAGACTATAGCGCACCGATCTGTATGTATACCGTGGTGCGACTAATGCTCTTTCTCTCGGGATTTGGCCTCTGCATCACTGCTCCGGGTTTGAGCAGCACGAGCGGAAGTTGGGTGCAATGAAGGGATCGAGAGATGCAAAGAAGAGGTAGATGTAGGCAGGGATCAAGGTGGATACTAGCACAGAATGGATGGATGTATGCATGGAGAGATGGATATACGGGACGGTAATTGATGCATACAGAAAGGGAATGGGTGGATGCAGGGAGTGAATTAGACTTAGAGGGGGAATGGGTGGATGCAGGAGGTGGATTAGACTTAGAGGGGGAATAGGTGGAGACAGGGCGAGAATTAGACGTAGAGAAGGGGGATGAGTGGATGCGGGCAGCAGCAGCCGTGGCACGACTGATGCTGTAGATGCAATCTAATGCGATGATGTGATGCAATCTAATGCGATGATGTAGATGCAATCTAATGCAATGATGTGATGCAATTTCGATTTTGAGTTGATCTCCAGCATCGTAGAAACGAATCCGACCATTCTCTCCGCTCTCCGCATCCATCCAGGCATCCGCGCTCGCCGCGTATAACGATGCCCTCCTCCGCATCCTCAATCCTCAGCCTCCGCATCCTCACTCCTCAGCCTCCGCATCCTCACTCCTCAGCCTCCGCATCCTCACTCCTCAGCCTCCGCATCCTCACTCCTCAGCCTCCGCATCATCGCTCCTCAGCCTTCTTTCGTAAATCGCGCGCGCGCCGCGGGGGCTCGTGACGCCATGCCGCTCACGCGCGACCGCTGAAGGGTTTGTCATTCTCTCTCTTTCTCTCACACTTTCTCACTTACTCTCTCTCTCGCTCGCTCTCGGTGTCTTTCTCTCTGTCCGTCTCTCTCTCTCTCTCACTCTCTCTCTCCCTCTCTCTCCCTCTCTCTTTCTCTCTCTCCTTCTCTCTCCCTCTCTCTCTGTCTTTTTGTCCCTCTCCCTCCTCCTCTCTCTCTCTCTCTCTCTCCGTCCCTCCCTCCCTCCCCCTCTCCCCCACCTCTCAGGATACACGGATGTCGCTTGGAGATCTTGCAGCAGTCGAGTATCAACGCTATTCGTTGCACCCCTAATTAGGGGCATGATGTTTTTGGAAATTGACACTAAAAAGATGCACTTATGTGGACTGGTGGGTCGGCTATGGTGCTCGGACGACCAGGCAAGAGAACTTTAAAGTTTTCATGACTGGGTAGTAGGTGTAGTTTTACCAATCTTCTATTCTATGTTCAGCGACATCAGCACAGACTGAAATTTTCAGCATAGGCAAACCATTTTCAATATGCTAAAATTATGGCACGTTAGCTTTTAAAATGTGCAAAATAGAGGGGTAGGTACCTTAAGTGGTAGGCTACCGTGTCGTGAAGGGCTCTCCCCCGTTAAATTTCAACCTTGACGCTTAAAACATAATTCACAAATTTCCTCATGACGCGATTGGAAAAATAGGGTAGGAGGCAATTAGGAGCACATTCACACAATAGTAAAATAAGTTGATCTGGGCAAATTAGCAGGTGAATGCTTTTTGACTTGATCAACAGTGGGCAGTTTAGACTGCCTTATTTGGCAACACCAAATACACAAATACCTACATTTACAATAGTAAATTTAGATTAAGCGAAAGGGACGAGAGCTAAGCTAATCGATCGAACCTCCTCCCTTGAGTTTACTATGCAATGAACCAATTGGTGGGTTAACACTGTCAGTGGAAGTCATCGACTCATCAATTTACATGATTTTACAGTTAATGTCAAACCTAACACTAGACCGAATCAAAATGCTTCGTAATGAACAAATCATCATTGAATAAATCTTGATATGTACCTGGGTATTCATATTTAAACATTGTTCCAAGAGCTACATTGATCAGCACTGTCCAATAGATCATGCCATGGCATACGATATGGATTAGAGAACATGACTTTTGAGAGATAGCTCTTATATACTGATGACTAATAATATGATTTACAATATTTACTAGGCTGACCGGCCCAACACATTAGCCAGCGAGCCGTGCAGCCGTGATTTGCAAGGTCAGTTTTGAAACTGCACGGCCAAAAATGTGTAGCACGGCCTAAAATATTGATCTAAAGCCGTGTACATTGTAAAAATTGCACTCCCAAATATTTTTTCTGCACTCCCAGGGTTTCTTCTGATGAAAAATTAGACAAAGGAGGTAATGGCCAGTTTGGGAAAAACGCGCATGATGGATTCGAAGGCGTGCCATAGGCATGCATGCGACAGCTTCAGGCGGATGAGGGGGGGGGGTCAATCTAAATATGCCAGAAGCATGTGATGATCCATTAATTGTTGGGTTGACACTATTTTGATAACGGCGGGTATATACAGGAAGATTTTCACAACGGCGATGTTAAATTTGACAACGGCGGTGCGCCACTGTGCCTCTTATGTATAAGAAACACTGACTCCCACAATACTCATTCCTGGCTAATACCCTGGACCGGCCAGATTTAAATTAGAGCCTACAGTACAGGCAACCTTCACAAGTAGTAGGCCTACGACGGCTAGGATAGAACTGAGCTATGGCTAGCTACGACCTACACCTAAACCCCAGTAATCTTAAATCACGGCACAAGTACTAGTACTACTACATATCACCGTTAATTTGTCAGCGGCTGCAGATGTATTAATTACGCTGTGGCTATATGCCCGGCAGCCGGGCACGGTCTTCGATTTCCTAAATGCCCGGCAGTTCCTAACCCTAACCCTTGTTTAGTTGAGATAACGCTGAAAATTAAAAACTGCCGGGCATTTAGGAAATCGAAGATCATGCCCGGCAGCCGTCAGATATGCCGGCTGCCGGGCATATATAGCCCACGTACTCTGTATTAATTATTATATGAGAGTCATAACCTCAACTGTGTCATGCGGCCAAGATCAACACCACATGGTGGAGTTTATCAGCCAACGTCAAGAACGAAAAACCACACATTATCAAATAAAATTATTTAAAAATACAGGATTTAGATGATGTATGATGATGTACTACAGCGTAAACGTGTCGTGTACAACGCCAACGGTAATTGTCAACAAGCCGGCAGAACAGAGCCAGTATAATCACGATTAGTCCGAGCCAACGCAGACCCCAGTAATGGGTTAAACCCGCACCCTCAGATTAGCAAAGCGGAGTAACGCCTGCGTGCGGAAAAAATCACGATAATCTGTATCAGTGATTGTTATAAATAAGTAATGCCCAACTTGCTAACGCATGACTTACCGGCTTAGAGTAGCTTAGCGTTCCTAGAGACTAGTGCCACTATCTTCGTTGCTTGATTGACCAGCGACAGTGAACACTACTCAACGTTGAACGTACAATGGCTTTTATCCGGTTCCACGCGACAGCGTGTTTCAGAACTTTACGTGCGGCGCCTCGTGACTCAGTTGTATGACGAAATTATCGGCGGCCATATTTGAAGACCAGCTTACTTTTCGCGGGGGTGTACGCATAGAGTAAAAGTACAGTTTTTGCATTGAATTCATTTCTTCTCTCCGAATCACAGTGCGAGTCTATTCAATTACATGTTATCACACCGTTTACAAATTGAAATTAGACAAGAAAGATAATTTGGTGTCTGCAATCAGTGCAATGTGACTGTGGGGGGCAGCATGTCCACTACGCCGGTATGGCGCTTGGTAATATATGAATGATGGAAAATGAAGGAGAGTGCGAAGGTTTAACCTACGTCACATATGACGTCAGAGTACGGCAAAATTCATGAGAGTAGGAAAATCACTGGTTTCGTGTTCTAGCTGTTACTGTTAGGATCAACATCATGTGGCTCTCCCTACACTGAACACTGATTACATAGACTAGGAAGCGTATAAGATCATAAAATATGGTTATGATCGGCTAGCAGCCTAGCTGACGTGAACATTTAGAAAACAACAATTGATTGCCTTAACTGATTATGCAATCATAATGAAATTTTAAGTCATTTAATTAATATTACCAGTTAAGTTTTCCCAGTAAATCCAATTGTAGCCATACCTTTTTACTACGTACATGTTACATGCTAGTTGCTACTCTGTCAACTAGTATTTGGGTGTTTGGTGTACCTTGGAACCATTTCATTTTGAACCAACAACATAAACGTATCATGTATGAAATAACATACAGATTAATAAAATTAATAATATGATAAATAATAATATTAATATAATAATTGTATTAATGCATACTCTCGAATATAAAATTTACAAGTTACTAAGCTACTATAAGAGCAATATACGATTGAATATTACAAGATAATGCAAACCTAGCCCAAAATGAAATTAAAAACCAACGACTATGAAGTGGTTAAATGCATTAAGGCGGACAATATCTTTCCCATTTATAAGGAAATCAAGAATATATCTCAGCACCTAATTTTTTGAAGAAATTGTTGGAGTTGTATCAGAGCACGTATATCATAAATATATACGCGCTCTGGCAGTATCCGAATTTTTGTACAATGTGCTGCCATCTAGTGTGAAATTACACTTGTAGAAAATTACTTCAACAACTATTTGTTTATTAGTAAACAGATATAGCAAACTGTACTGAAAGAAATTTTAAGACTAGGAAATGAGTAATTGCAATGGTAATTGCGTTCAGCTATCAACACACAACCATAACAAATACGACACATATTTGGCACAACAATCCCATACATATAATTGAGTCAAGAATATAACAATTAAAGGTAACAATTATATCTAGTTTTTCCCCCATATAATTCAATTATAACGTAACGTTTCTCTCTCTACCTCTGCTTCTATCTCTCGCTCTCACTCTCTCTCTCTCTCTCTCTCTCTCTCTCTTTCTCCCTCTCTCTTTCTGTCTTGTTCTCTCTCTCTCTCTCTCTCTCTATCTCGCTCATGTGCATTTACTGCCTCATTTGAATAACAACAGCATGCTAAATCAATGAGAATTTCTGAACTCACTTATAAAAAAACATGTCCAAATCGGTATCACTCTCTGGGGAATGTATCCCCATATTTCGAGTAAACAGTTCCTCATCTTGAAAAGCATTACCAAGCATACTTGTACTATACGCCCGTGAAGATGTGTTCGAATGATTCAGAAGCTCTACGACAGAATCGTCCGAACTGGAATCAGAACCCGAGCTAATTCGATCTAATTGAAGCCCAATTGCACTTACATCTGCAGGATGATTTCCGTAATGCCTGCCATCGTCTTGTACATTGAGTGACCTGCCACCTCCCATTAGATCTCGAGGCTTTCGCCTCTCATCTCGAACACTGCGCGAACTTGCCTTCTCTTCTCTCACGCTTAATCGCTGGAGAGTTCCTCCTACAGGGTCCCGATAATCGATCGCCACGGGCGAACGTCGATTCTGCATCTGAGACGTCATCTGTTCCACTCTATCCTGCAGGATTCTCTGCTTTTGTTCCAGCTTCCTCTGCAACCAGCCCCTCACCTGCAGCAGCTGCTCGTGCACAGGTGAGACGCCGCCCGCCACCTGGGACGCGAGGCAGCGTATCGCGAGATCTCCCGTCTGCAGCGGCGGCCCGCGATCCGATCCCACCTCCGCTGAACGCCCCGAGTTTGTCTCGGCGTCGCCAAGAGACGTCTCGCTCCTTGTCTCCAGCGCAGCCGGACAACGAGACGACCTCCGACCCCGGTCGCCCGAGTCCGTCCGCCGGCCACCGCTCGGCCGATCCTGCGTCGCCGCGGCGACGAGAGCATCCGTTCTTAGCGCGAGCGTCGCCTCCAACCGACGCAGCTCCTCTCGCAATGTCGCGCGGCTGTCGGCGAGTTCTCGCCGCGCGTCGGCGTCATCGCACCGTGCTGCCACCTGGTCAATGGAACCTTCTAGTTCGGCGGCGTCTCCCACGTTGGAGTGTCGCGACAGAGGAACGAGGAGGCGAGGGGGGTCCGGAGGATGCCTCCCACGCAGGAGTGTGGTCGGTGGGGTTGCAACGTGCCTCGGGGGTGCCGACGCCGCGACAGCCGACCGAGAGACGCCGGAGTTCCTCTTTCTGCCTCCCCGCATCGTCTCCTCCCCCTGCTCCTTCTCCCACAGGTTGTTCACGTTGTCGAGCCACATCGCGGGACTCCTCGCGGCGAACAACGACAACGATCGCAGTTCCCCTGGACGACCGGCTCGCTTGTTAACAGGTGGCGTTTCGTCATCGAGTTTGCGCCTAGTGCTGGGCGGACGCGCGGCGGTCGTTTGCGCGGCGATTTTCCGCGGGGCGGCGCGTCGCTGGTGACCTGCACTGACCTCTCCCTCCTCGCGGTGAAACCTGCCGGATGGCTTCCCACAATCCGTCGTCTGCTTTCTCGGCCGCTGTGCCGCAGTCCCGGAGTCGGTCGCCACGGTAACCGAGGACGTGCTGCTGATCTCATTACCGGTGTCGTCGTCGTCGTCGCTCTGCCTCTCCGTGGGTTCTTCGCGGGAAGCTAGGTCACCGACAGGGTCGCCACGCGGAGCGACCTTTGACCTTTTGTGACGTCGCCATGTCATATTCGTCTTCTTGAGAGGCGTTGACACCTAAAAATGTCATGAAAGGCACTTAGAAGCACATTATTGTTGAGCAACGTTGAACTTAATTTAACCTTCGACTTGGTGTGACCTGTCGCACGTGTAGAAAAGTGAGCCTCTCAAAATTCTGCAAATGCTATCAATTTTGAACATCAAGTTTGACACAAATGCATGCACTTGTAAAATCTATGTTACTTGCCTTTTTAGGAGTTAGAAGTTTAGACAGAGTTTGATGAATGTCTTCTTGTTGGGATGCAATAGTGTTCTGATATTGCTGCAACAGTGTTTGAGATTCCTTGTACTTGCTTAGCAACTGTGTCACCACTAATAAGGAACTGTACACGTGCACGCTTATATAATATAAATAATACCCAAAGGTTTATTACATTATGCCTATGAAATTAGGAATGTATGCAGTAAATACGTGAATGCGCTGAATTAATGCCACTATACACCATAGCCTAATATATTAAATAGAGTATTAAACCCAGTTCCAATCTGCATTACATCAACCACTTCCCAGAGAGCAGTCGTAAAAGAAACTACGCGTAACAGATTTTCTGTAAAAGGATATGATTATGTTCCTTGTATAGTGCAGCATTGTGATGCTGTAGCTTCTCCATCTTTTTCTCCAAGACAGATGTACCTCTTGTTGCCATAGCAACATTATCAGAAACTGCTTTCCTCTGTTGCTCTAGCGCATTAAACGCTTCTTCCTTATCTTCAGTAGCTCTAAAATATGTTAATGACACAGGGTTCACTCTGTTGTAACACAACAGTGTGATCGTGAATGAAATCAATGCTTTAAAAAGAGACCTTTATAATTACATATGTTATTAGGCCCTTAATGACTCTAATCATGGCACATAGGCCTTCAGCAGCTGTTTCTTTGGATTAGATAACAACTATACTTTGTCTGGGAAGGACATTCGGTGTTACATGAATGAGGCTGTTAGGCCGGCGAGATAAACAGACTTCTGCAACAAGTGGCGACTGAAGCAAATCGGAATAAAGCACATGGCTCAAGGGTACAACAGCAACAATCATGGTGGAACTTCAGTCGCAGTTTCAAGTTCAGTTTGCTATTTACTGGACCACCACTGCTGCCTAACAATTACATAACTGAGCTTCAAATCAATTCTGGCAAATCAATTCACAATCTGCACAGGAAACTCTTACCTTGCCAACTCTTTAATGAGATTAGCAATCTTCACCCTGTCTTCCTGGCAAAGATCCTTAAGTGAAGCTTGCTTAAACGAAATCACACTTTTAGCTTGCATTTTTTCTCTTGCATCCATACTTGTATTTGATGACCACAGCCCTGACCACTGCCTCTGGAGCGTGTAACCACTCGACTAGAAAATGTCGGTAATAAAATGAAAATCACTACGTGAGTACGATTTTACCAGTATCATACATCCTTTAACAGAAATGATACATTTCTGACACTGGCTAAAAAATCCTCATAAATGTGAATTTTACAGTCAAAAAGTTATTATGGATATATGCAACCCACCATGATTTATCTTTGCTAGACTAGATAGGATGGGAACAGGCACAGTGGCCAGTGTACCTAATCACTTTACTTCTTGACTTTTTTTTACGTTCCTTAATCACTTTACTTGTACAGAATGTACTGTCGTTTTTGTATATTTTTTTCTTCATGTTGCATAGCACTGTTTTGTACTGTAACACTCCGAAATTTTATTATTTTAACTGCTCAACACTATTGCATGTATCAGATTTTTTCTCCATTAAAAATACTGTCTTCAATACATGTATTTGTATTTGAATTACATCCAATAAAGATTTAATAATAATAATAAATAATAACACTGCCATTTGGTACTGCCTATTTTACCCAGAGATATCTCATGAATTCCGCAGAAAACTCAAAACTCCCACTCCGCCAAAATGTATATATGGGAGGAAGTCGCACGTTTATCCTCCGAAACTCCCTAACCGCACTATTTGATTGTTTTGGCCAATGAATGTAGTCGCGCGTGCCTTAATTTACACACACATTATGCTAGCTTGGCTTGGCGGGCATCGAAACAGAGCTCGGAGGAAGGCAGCAGCTCATCCTGGCATGCAATGCGCCACCATTATTAATGATAATTTCCTGTAAATGCCGTTCAAATGGCAGTGTTATAATTTAAACAAGTGAACATTTAGCTACACATAGATACCAAAACGGAGGCCGTTTTTGGTGTATTTGTGCTTTCATTGTGTGAAACAAAGCAAGCATTGTGCGAATTTTGCGGTCACACTTTCCTACCTGCTCTGTAATTTTGTTGTTTGTGCACAGTGAAGTGCATGCTGTGTACTTGTGTGTTGTAGAGGAGCATTTGAACGACATTTCAGTAATAATTAAAAGGCGAAATTGAGAGTAGAGAAACACTAAGTTAGACTTTGATAATAAATACAATTCGTATTTATTTACCATCATTTTATTATTGAATTTGAAAGAAAACGTCTAAGTGCCCTGGCATAGTTAGCATCGATGATCATCGGTGGGACTTGCTAGTCGGTGCATTTCAGCGCCTCTTGACTTTCTAAGATTCTAAGTTCTATCAGCTCCGGCCTTGCTGCGCTCTGGCCCATGGTGTGGCTTGGGCTAATATATTAAATTACGCAACATCATAACCTGCGGATATACAATATCATTATAATGAACCTATTTGAACATTGAGTCAATGAAATATTCTTTTGCACAAATACTTACTTTAGATACACAATCTTGTCAACCTAAATACTTGGTCACTGACCAACAGTTACAAATAGGTTGCCAATTTACAAAATTCGAGAATTCCGAACTTTTTGATGATGAGCGCCAACCTGTATAAGAAGCGGAGACTGTGCCGCTTGATTAATCTAAAAATATTACAGTTTTAATTATTTTAGCCTTGTTGAAAGAAAAGCATCACTGATTTATAACGAACAAGCAAGATATCTTTACAATTTATAATAGTCTAATCTTTTTGTTATTTTATAAACATTTTTTATGTGTCATCGTCAACGTCTTTCATGCCGCGTGTGTACCGCTTTCGGGGATGGGAGAAAATCATTCAGGCCGGGAAATATAAGCAACAGTCAGGCCACTTTTTAGTTCTTTAAGGCGGGCTGGGGTCCGCGGAACTCCCCACCACTCCGGGCGAGCCGCTACGGAAATTTGTTACAAGAATACTTCATCCACGTATTCTGCGTGAAGTTATTAGAGCACGTGAATTCACAAACTAATGAGCCAACAACTGCATTACGCAAACTACGTTCGGAGTAATATATATTCTATGCCGGCGGAACGATTTATTGAAGTGGGGGGTGATTCAAGTTTGTTACGGGCGTCTCACAGTGGCCAATCCAGGATTCAAGGAGGAGTGGTGAGAGAACGGCCGGGGGGATGATGACCAAGTCCTCACGCCAGAAAATTTGGGGAAAAACATGTAGAGCGGAGAGATGTATTGAAGGCAATTTTGAGATACATGTACACACCTCATTCTATGACGTCAAGTATCTCCTTTTATAGTAGAGACATTCATTGCGTCTTCAGCGCGGCATTGGATTGATTACAGCCGGGAGGGGCATTGCTTTATGTCGGCGTCTCATTATTAAACCTATTAGGCCGGGTTGCACCACCACTGGACTGAGGCGAAAGCAAAAACTCTTTGCTTGGAATTGGTGAAAAAAAACTGTCAAAAGGCCTGTAGACCTGCCTTCCTGCCACCCATTACATAATTTAAAAATGCATCATGTGCCGGGTTCAGCTTTTGTTACGAGCCGCGCGAGCTATTGGGATGACTTGGCCAATAATTTTAATTGTGAACGGTTATATGTGTAAAATAGTTGTTGCTGTGTACGCGGAAGCTGGCGCAGTGTATGTTGGTTCGCGCGGTCGAAGGGGCGGAAGCTCTAGACTAATGAAATCAAGGGAGACGTAATAACATCAGTGCTCTCTCACCTCTCTCGTCTATCTCATAAACATTTATGTGGTGTCCAATAAAGTTGGGCCGCCCTCAAGCTCCTTACCCGGCGCGCGCGCGCGCGCGCGCGCGAGGACGCTAGGCCTACGTACCGATAGTACGCGGGAAGCAGGCTGAGTGCGCGCGAGGTTGTGCAGTGCGCGCCGAGGTTTCCGGTTATCCGGAGCGGGTTTTGCTAAAGGGGAAGTGCGACATCACTCGACGCCCCCCGACCCTAATATTACTTATATGGCCTGCAGGCCGCAAGATTTAAATGATGAGTTAGTACCTTGCAGGCCGCAAGATTTAAATAATCCATTATAATGGCCCTGCCAAGGCCGCAGATTTAAATTTATTATAATGGCAATGCAGGGCCGCCAGATTTATTTATTTTTTTTTTTTTTTTGAGGCGGCCTACTTGCAGGCGGCACGGAAGAGAGCGCGCCCGACACACCAGTCGCCAATGTAGGACTGCGCGCTATTCATCCAAAATTGCGCTTGTGTTATAATCACCTGTACATAGATATTCGACGAGAGGAGTACGGGGCGTAAAAGAGATAAAGATACTAAATCACTTCAAACTCACAGCCGCAAACATAATTATGGGGGCCCATCGAAAAACAAGTCATAAACAGTTGAGCGGACATTCACGCCCGCAGGGCGCCCTTTCAACCATAACGACCGAGCTAGCCAGCCACGTGAGCCGAATGTCGTGCTCCGACGTCGCACATAGCGTTGCTGGCACTGGTCCGGCAGGGTAGTGTGTGGCAACCGCAACGTATGTATATCTACGCCGTCATAGGAATTTTGTTTCCCACGTATGTAGTGTCCAGATCTCGCAGTAAAGTGTGTACTGGGATTACAGAATTATACGGATACTGTCTGGACTGAGAACGTGTGTGTGTGTGAGCGCAAGGACACCGTGAGCCATGTCATTCAGTCGATCCCAGTCGTCTCTCTCCACTCTCGCCTTCCTTGCCGTCGTCAGTCTAGTCCTGCTCGTGATGATGGAGCGAGGAGCAGTCCGCCACTGCTAGGCTCGCGCTCCCGGCCCGGAGGTTGGTGAGACGCACCGCTGTCGCATGCACAGAGGTCGGCAGACGACCGCGGCCCGCTTCTCCGATCCGGAGCTCGAATGGCGGCAAACTTTACAGTGATGAATAATGACGTACAAGCGCAACGGATTCTGTGAGCGTAAGAATTACGCGGAGCCGAGGATTCGGTGGATAGGGTGATCTGCAGTGGGAATAAATCGTGAGCTTTAGAACATAGGACCCAGTCGTGTTTGTACATATAAAAAAAATTGACGAAAGAGGGAAAAGGAGGAGGGGGTGAGAGAGACGGAGGAGAACGTGGATGGATGTGGATGGATGGATGGATGAATGATGATATGTGATGAAATGGAGGATTTGGGAATGAAGTTGGATTGAGTGGAGTTGGATGGATGGATGATTGGTAGAGTAGATAGATAGAGTGAGATAGATTAGAATAGATAAGATAGATAGATAATGAGAATAGATAGATAGATAAGGATAGATAGATACGATAGATACGATAGATAAAGTAGGATAGATAGGATTAGTAAATAGATAAATATAGATAGATAGGATACGATAGAATAGATGAGAATAGATAGGTAGATAGATAGATAGATAGATAGATAGATACGATAGAGTAGATAGATAGTTAGATAGATAGATAGATATGATAGGATAGATTATGTAATAAGATAGATAGATAGAGTATAATAGAGATAGTATAGATGAGATAGGAGTAGATAGATGAGATACGATATGTAGGATAGCATAAGATTAGAATAGATAGAGTAGATAGATAGATAGAGTAGAACTAGATAGATAGGATA